TGCCCATCAAAATACAATCAAAAGCGGGTCACAGTACATGTATACTAACTACTAAACACGGATATTCAAGTACATTAAGAGAGATCTAAGCTGCTTAGAGCTAAGAGTAACATTCGTAAGGACTTCAAAGTTTTAAGATGTTTATAATTTGAAATATTTTATATAATATAGGCTTCTTCTGGTTAAGAGTATGCTGTAATTGCATTTTAATCGCAGTAGAAAATATTCCGAAGGTTCAATCTTGTTTGTCAAATAACACTTAAAAAATTACAGATCCGCAAGTGTTTTGTATTAGTTTCATTTGAAGCAAAGCATACATAAAATAACATATTAATAAGTTTTGTTCCACTAGCATGAAAGATTTAAAAAACATTGAGATAATATATCAAGAAGTTCTTGTACCATTCAAAAAGAATTCAAATCCGCCCCTAGATTATTTTTTAGATCAAATATAATTTATACTTTCAAATTTTGTCCAAATTATCACTAATAACGTGTTTAACACTGTTAACCAAATGCTCATGTGATAGATAAATTACCCAGATGACATCAAGTTTTAAAATATAATAAAAGTGGCAACCATGTGACTGATTCAGCCATCGCTATACTGCTTTTTTTTGCAACTCTGTGTTTCACAATGCCGCTGAACTGAATGATGGCGCTTAAATGGAGGCACAAAAACATTGGAGCAACATTGGCATTGGCAATTTCTTTCTAGTTTTAGGTTTTCTTTTTAATTCTTTATAAATTTATATTTAATTTATGATTATTTCAAACCCTATGCTCATGTTAACAGATCATCTGCCACGTAAGGATTAGTCTAACAGTAGTAAACATGCCATTAATAATTAAGACATATCGGGAGAAAATCTGAAAGTTCAGGTTTAACTGAAAAAAAAAAACATCAAATACACACTGGAAAAAACATCAAATACACATTTGAACTTTTTAGAATAGTAAAGTAGCTTTTTAATATATTAGAACATTAAAAACATGTAGAACATAGCAATATATGCCAGGAAAAAAAGTTTTAGGCAAACCCGGAGGACTAGTGTTATTATTATTATTATTATTTATTCTTTTTCCTAAAAAAAGAACTTTTTTACTTTCACTACGCATGGCCCTTTTATGTCAATTCAAAAACTTTAGTTTAATAATTAGCCATTATATATCTTATAAAAATGTATAGTTAGAAAATGGTTAACAAATCCATATTAGAAAAAGAAAAAATAACCTAAAAACTACTGTTTGGAAGTCAAATAACAAAAGACCAGATTGCTTACTAAATTGGCAAAAAAAAAACACCATGAAAAGATCAAATAATTAAATCATACTTCCAAAAATTCATTACTAAACTCAAAATGCTTTTGTTAAAAGAAAGGGCATCTACCTTAACATTAGAAAATAAGTAAGAGAAAGAGCACTGAGTACCACCATAAAATCATCTTCCCTTATATTCTATCCTATTATATTTCAGGCAATTTCAAGAGAAGCAAAAGAATATGAACTCGGTGAAACCAAGTACTATTTGGTGGTTGTGTTTGGCGCAATAGCATGGCAATGCTTCTTCTTGGGGGCACTAGGGGTCATCTTCTGTGCTTCATCTTTATTGTCCGGTATTATAATTGCAGCTGGACTACCAGTAACGGAAATCCTAGGTGTTATTTTCTATAAAGAAAATTTCAAACCTGAGAAGGGTGTTGCCCTTGCACTCTCTCTGTGGGGCTCTATCTCTTACTTTTATGGTGAGCAAAAAGATGCTGATAAACAGAAGCGGAGTACTCTAGAAACAGAGATGCTACAAGTTTCTAATCCATGATTCAGAAAATTCTAACTACCAAAATGTTTCTTGTTCCAAGATATGTTGTTGCTTTGCTTTAATATGAATTAAGCGTTTATTTGCTTTGGGTAGGTTAGTTCTGTGCTTTAAATGTGTGAAAATGATTTTATATGGCATTATGTGGTCTATGAACACTAAAAATTTTGCCTCTTGAATTTATATTTAAAATAAATCCAATTCTAACATTGTTTTTGAGCCAAAATTTGAAAATAACTCCTAGTTTTGTAACATTTTTTTAAATAACAAGTAACAAAATACCATTAAGTATAGGCATCAAGGGAATGCTGCCATAGAAAGCAGGGTTGACCCATAACCAAAATACCAAGGGTCTAAAACTGTCTCCCTAATTCTATTTATACTCTCCTCTACTGTCTCAAAGACTCTCCTCCTTTCTTCCAAATGACCTAAAATATGGCGAGGGAAATTAACCCCAATTCTCTTTTCCTCCTAGTCAATCCTTAACACGCCCATAAAATCATCCCTAACGGTACCAACCATCACCCATTGATAACCAATAATTCCATAAGCCATTGACCATAAGTTATATGCAACTAGACACCCCAAGAAGAATATAATTACAGGTTTCCTCCGCCCTCTTGCATAAACAACACCAGTTGACTAGAATCCTCCTCCTTTTAAGCTTGTCAATAGTCAATATACATTTACGTCCTCCTTCCCAAGCAAAGAACACAACCCTATGCGGAACCTTCATCTTTCAAATTTGTTTATATGAGAAACTCTTATCAACAAGCTCGTTCGCAGTTAAGTACCTGTAAAAAGATCTTACCGTGAAACTCTCTGTTGCATTAAGAGCCCACATCGGCTTGTCAACATCTTCATTCAACACAACCGGTTCCAAGGATCCCAATAAAACTTCATATTCACCAATTTCTCAATTATTGAGATTGCACATAACTATATTACAAAATGTTGGCTTAATTAATTAAGATATTTTTTTCTATATAATTTTTTCTCATAATAATGTAATTAATTAGAATTCCTATCATAAGAGTAATTTTCTTATCAGTAGATAGAAATTCTGCATATATATCACGTTTATAAAAACATAAATTGTATGAAAAATAAAAGAGAATATTTTTCTCCAAAATTTTACATGGTATCAAAGTCATATAAAGTTATTTTAGAATTTTAATTTCAGGATTTCTTTCAAACCCCTAAAATAGCAAAATATGTTGAGTTTGTACTCACCACCACCCTAGATGGAGTCGCCACCTCTAGTTTCTATCACACGCCGTAACCGGAAAACACGCTAAAGAACAGGTTGAAGCCGCGTTGCACACGAACCTAGAAAACTGTCGTGCGATTCGACTTCCCCGGTCGAATCCGCCACCAACAGTCGGCTGGCTTATCATGATTATCCCCATAACCATTGCTTACTTCCACCATAAAAACACAAATCAACTCAGATCACACTCAGAACATGAAACACCAAATTCATTTTTCATGAAACCTCGTATCTATGTCCCAACTGTCATCTCAGGAATCATCCTAGGTCTCGATGACTACATTTATGACCACAGAGTGGCACGTCTTCTCGTCTCCACTACAACTTTGATCCTTGCTATCCAGCTGGCTTTCACTGCATTGTTTACTTTGTTGTTGGTCGAATAGAAACTCACTCCTTATTCTATAAACTCCATGGTGGTGCCAACCACTGGGGCCTCATTTTTTGGCCTTGCACACTAGCAGTGACAAACCCAATAACGAGTCCGCCAGACGGTATGTCTTGGGATTTATAATGATGCTCAGAACTTTGGTTTTGTCTGCATTTGTCTTGCCAGTGGCAGAGCTCGTTTTCATGAAATGATGCGAAACTCATTATCAATAGTGCAATCTAAAATTCATGTAATACTCAAATAGCATTAAAAACTTAAATTCTAAATAAACCCTTCCTACTTAACTTGCTAAGATAAATGAAAAATGAAATAATGGAAAAAACACCACAAGATTACCTTTGATAAGTTGATTCAATTCTCTGCTCAACGAGAAGAATATAAAACACCTCACGTGTTAAAAACTAGAGTTTATAATTTTATTATTCTCAAAACTTGATGCTTACAACCATGAATTGAATGTCTACTTATAATGGTAGGTCATGTGAATTACAAAAAAATAAATCTTCTAATTTAATTGTAATAAACTACATAAGAAATTAAATCAAACTAGAATAGGAATAAAATTATAATTAAGAAGATTATAGCCATAATAGTGTAGGTATGTCATCCCTCTATACAAACATTTTAAATGATAAAGATCTTCATTAATTGTGGAGATGATTGGGGAAAGAATTAAGGAAGATTATGGCCGGTTTGGAAAATGATTAATTGTCACCATATCTTCCTAAATCCGTGAGATTCAGGCTCCCATAGCCATAGTATTTAGTTTCTTTTTGTTTTTTTTGAGATCATGATTCGTATAGGAGAAGATCTTAGAGCAGTGGCCGATTCTTTCTTTAAGGGATGAGATCCTTGCAGTTTTAAGGACGGTGAAAGAAGAGGAAAATTTCACTTTGAGAAGGCAATCCTCTCATGTTGGAAAGGATTCCTCATAGGTGGGAGGATTTTCTTTCCCCTTTTCCGTTTGGATTATGATGCATGTACCATCGTGCCCTTGGTCGAACAGGCTTGCTATCCTCCTTTTATGGGCTTCCACCTTTGGCTCAACCCTCTCTTCTTTATAGATTCATCCTTTAACATAGACTTGAAAGTTTTCTTTAAATTTATTGGTCTATGATTTAGTGATATTCTATCCACAAAACACAGGTGCACCTTGAAGTGGACTCGTGATAGACTTGTCTCCATATAGACTTTGTTTGACTTGAATTGGATCTTTTATCTCATTTAAATGAATCAAATCATGACCTCCTAGGCTTTAAGTTTCTACACTATGACCTTCTACACTTGATAGGTTTTAAATAGTCCAAACCATCCGTGCTCACATCATGAAGGCCCGTTAGCAACTTACTTATCCACTTATGTTGCAGATGCTAATAGTGATAAGTGCTTGCCATTGGGATGCTGGTTAATAATGACTTCAAGGTTAGTTCCTCTATTTTTTTTTACTGTAAATATTCATATATTTTAATATAGAACAAATAATGAATTTATTTTAATATTATTTTTAATTTTTAAATCGATCATTAAAATAATTTTTTTACTTTTTTAATCTATTTATTTTAAATATATATATATATATTCGTTAAATGTCACTAATACTATTAACTGATTTGTTGCACAGCAGCGAATTGGATAATGAATATTTTTGGTTGAATAAATTTTCATGACATGTAAAAAATATTTTAACTCCATGCACCACACCATGTTTAGGTTTCAATTTACCTTATCTCCCAATCGTTTAGGTTTCTACTTAACTCCACACACCACACCATGTTTCCTTGAGTGTCCAGCAAGAACTCCGTAACAGTGGCATCCTTATTGTGAGTGACGGTAAAATCTCTGGAAAACAAAGGGATAAAATTCCCTCTTCCACCCATTCGTTTCTCCAAAAACTCACTCTTTTCCCTGACCCCACGCTATATCTGATAAACTCTAGAAAAACATCATGTCGTATGATAAACTCCATGCAAACCCCTTTTGGAATTCTAGTGCACCAACCCAGCCCCTCTACCTCATGTCTCGCTGCTAAACCCTCCTCCAAAACTCCCCTGCTCCATAATCTCATAACCACCTTCTCTAGGGAGCTCTATTAAACCCAACTAGAGATCATAACCCCAATCATATCTCTATTACAACCAACTAGAGATCGTAACCCAACCAAATGATATCTTCTGTCTCCACATCACCACCCCAATGAAATTTAACTTTAGTTTTTCCAATCTATTAGCAATGTCAAGCGAAATTGAGGATAAAGACATCAAGTACATATGGATGCTAGATAGAGTACTTTTAGTAAGAGTCAGCCTCTCACTTTTAGACAGCAAATGCCTCCTCCATATTAATGGCATTTCTTCTATCCTTCTGCATGCTACATGATTTATTATCAACTGATACACTGAAGTCTCATGGTTACGACAGGAACTTATAAGTAGGGATGCATTTTTCTGCATCTAGGGACACTAACACCCATTCTTAAAGGTTTAGGAACACAGATTATGGTGCTACAACAAAGAACACTAGAAATAGCCAAAGAAAATCATCGCATATATATTTATTTATATGGACGTTTACATGGTTTCATAATTGTAGTCATCAACTAATACGGTAGACACCTTATCCCAATCAAGAATGTATATTATGGGCTATTCCTCCATCTAGAAGTAGTAAAACAATGCGTGTATCTATAAATCCCTAAACAATATTATAACAATAGAATTCGATTTGTAAATTTTTTGTAAATGGGCGGTGCCCCCTTCACACCTTTACTTCAATACAACTTTATACTTTTATTTCAAAAAAAAAAAAATTATAACAATAGAATTGCATTTGCATCATATTTTGATTTATATTATGAGCTCAATCAATAATTATAAATATCATAGGCATACCTTAATTATCTGTATCAGCTAATTGTCACCTTGAAGAGAATTTAATCAAGGGTCTAAGAGAAAAATCTGCAACAACCAAACATATAGACAAGAATAAGATACATCTGCTGCAAATTTGATAAGGAAAACAGAATTAAAAATTAAAGTCCAATTAGTATTCAATAGAGATTAGAAAAGAGCACACACAAGCCATTCTTGTGTGTGTTTTACCAAGTTCAAACCGATTCGAAATCTCAAAAATAGCCACAACAGATAATCAACAGTCGAAAAGCATTTACATAATATAAACTTTCATTTAAGACATTTTTAACTCCTGTCCATTTTTTGTTTATTTTCTTTAACATACCCATGCCCAAGCACCCAACAGATAATCAACAGTCGAAAAGCATTTGAATCTTAGAACCAATATAGAAAAAGAAACAGAAGGAGATGCATTTGAAATTTTGAATCCTTTCCTCTTACCTAGGCTTCAGCTATTGGATGGTGTGAATATCTTCTGGTAGTCTTCACATAGAAAGTTATCATGATATAAGATGCATTTCCTTTTTTTAAGATGTAGAGATGCATATACATTTTTTAATTACTATTATACCATAATGAGAATTATAAAAAAATAGAACTCAACAAGCAAATTATATGTAAAACTTGAGGATTTTCATCAACAAAGTTATAAACAATGAAAAATGACTTTCTATATGAAAAATTATAAGCAAATTACGGTCACCAGATGAGCCCTTCAAAACATCAGCAACACCATATCAGGTCATACTTCCACCATTATTGTGTTCTATGAGAATTGGGAAAATATACTTGAACACGAGAATTGGGAAAATATACTTAGTATTCACTGTAACACGAAATGAAAGTCTAAAAGCTAAATGCTTAGGTTACAAATGTATGAATCACCAGCATTCAGGTCGTGACTTCACCAATACCCCACTTTCTTAAGCATGACTACGAGATTGCTCAAATCTTTACATTTTTTTCCTGAATCTTCAAGCAATAATTCGGAATTGCTAAAAAAATGGAGTATAAATCTCGT